GTACTCTCTCACGTGAAAACTGCAGCCGTTTTATTTTTATTTTTTATTTTTTGATCAGCAACTGCCAACTGCAGTCGTTTTATGACTCATTGAAGCATGTGCCATGCTGAATTTGGCAGGTTTAGCTTCGATAGCTCAATGAATCAATGACTCGCAATCAGGTCGCTTTCTCTTTTATTATTACACGAAAGACGAAGGTTGACGTGTTGGTTATGGACCCTGCTTCAGTGTCGGCTCTGTTTTGTCTTTTACTTGTTTGATTATGTCCTGGATTAGTAGGGTAAGATTGTGGTAAGAAGATCCTCCTTCTTCCACCGCCGTTTCTGCCATGACTGCAAGCTTTTGAGTTCTTTCTCTTCTCTGTTGTCCTTCTTCTCCTTCAACCATCAGCTTCTCTATAGCCTTCTCGATGTTTTCCCTCTTTACCATTACCCCCAACTTTTCTTCTTCTTCCCCGAAGAGCGTAGCCATTGGAGACCCCACCCTCACACCGATCTTAAGAACCTGGACTATCAGCTTCTCATTGTAAAATTGCTCCGCAATCAGAGGCCAAGTTGCCATTGGTATGCCGGCACAGATACCTTCAAGGGTCGAGTTCCAGCCGCAGTGAGTTAGGAATCCTCCAACTGCTGGATGAGAGAGAATTAGTACTTGTGGTGCCCAGCCTCTTATCACGAGCCCTCTTCCTTTTACTTTGTCTTCAAATCCATACTCGGTCAGCCATTTTTCTATTTCTTCTGGTTTGTATCCTCCTCTCATGACCCAGATGAATGCCCTATTCGATGCTTCCAGGGCCAAGCCTAGCTCGATCAACTGTGAAGGTGTCATGCGTTCGATGCTTCCAAAGCAGATGTAAAGGACTGATCTTGGTGGGCGTGAATCTAGCCACTTCAAGATCTTGTTTTCATCTACGGAGGCTCTGTTACCTCTCTCAGCCTTGTCTGAGCCCTCCTTATTGCATAGTGAAACAGGGCCGATACACCAGACCTTATCACCTGTGGCGTCTCGGTATGCTCTGACATACTCCGATTCCAATTCCTCGAAGGTATTAACCAGCACCCCGTACGCTCCTTCCTCGGCTGCTCTGATTTGCTCCAGGAAAGCCATCAATTCCTCTTTGGTTGCTGGATGGAAGACTGCAGGTAACTGTGCTTTTGTGAATTCAACTTGATGCGGCATGCCTGGCACCACAAAAGGCTCATTATCAGATTCATGCTTGTAGACCTCAGTTTTGTGTAAGTTGTAATTACACAGAAGAGTGAAGCAACTCATCCCATCAAATAATATCCTTGGGATCCCGAACCGTGACGCAGTATTGGCTGTCCATGGTACGTGTTTATCACAGACCATGCAGCTTGGAGGTGGTCTCATCTCCTTCAAGGACTTCTCAAAGGGCTGCTGCAACAAATTTATTGCAGTGAAGAAATTGCCTATCAGGTTGACGGAGGGTATGGCGTCAACATTTTCACACCCTTTAGGCAGCCCAGCCTCAGAGGGAAATTCAAGTAGTAGAAATCTGATAGGTTGCCCTGAACTGGTGGCACGATCGATGACAGAAGTGAATCTATCAGCATTCTGGTGTGTTGTAGCTATGGTGACAGCCACATTTCTCCTTGCCAGCAACCTAGCTATGTCAATCATGGGGATAAGATGGCCTGGAGCCATGAAGGGTACGAGTAGAAAGTGGATTTCATGGGTTTGTGAAGCCATTGCAGTAGAAACTCAAGGCAGACTTGGCAGAGAAGTAGAACGGATAACACGCTGGATTGGTGTGGTAATTGCTGTTATGTTTTTTAGTAGTGCTTCCTTCGCATTTTATACTAGCGTATACTACTACTTTTTTGTGACGCAAGAGCATACATAGGCACGGTGCAGTGGGAACAGACAACAGGCTTTTAAAGGTGGCCAACGACTCACAATTTCTGACTTTGAAGGGGCGTCGGCTTATCTATAAATTTGACGCTGGAGGACTGAATTCCTTGATGACTTATGAATGTTGAATAACACTAAAGCTGTGATTGGAATTATTTGGATTCCTGTGAAATATTGTGATGGGAAGTTTTTTAATATTTAATTATTATTAAAAATTATGTTGTAATTTAATAATTATTTTTAAAAAAAATTTTATACATTAATAAAATTATGAAATTATATAAAATATTAATTTAAAATTAATTTAATTATAATAAATTAATATTTTTATGAGATACTATGTAAAAAAGCATTGTAAAAATGTAACTTCAAATTCAACCTAAAACTTTTCAGTAATCTCCAATGATTTTTAAACTTAAATAATTTTTTAGATCCCCAGCTGTAAATTAATTTTAATTAACTTAAATAATTTACTAATTAATTATTAAATGATTTCATTAAACATTAATTAACCATCTTACGAGAATATTTGCAGCTTGAATTCAAATTCAATTTGAACTCTTCTTATTGGAACTTATTCTTTTTTTTTTGGTACATTATTGTAAGTTATTCTGTTGTTGTTTTGTTTTTTCTGTTTCTTCTTGATTTCCTTCACTTCTGTGCAACTATTGTACCCTACTATTTTGTACACGTCGGCAATACCACATTTATGATTTAAAATTGTGAGTTTATAATTTTATATATTATTAAATGA